TGGGAGTTGAAGTCCACACATCTTAAAGTTGCCAAGGTTGAGAAACACTGTTTTAAAACAAGTCTGTTAGCCAATCTTGTAACATTTTTGAGAGGCGAAACACGGAAGAACTTGACCAAATTCCAAAGCATCCATGTTTAAATAGAGAGTGAACATGTTCAACGCTTGTTTATCTCATGTCTAACGATCACCTTCATGAAAACGCATGTCATTTATTAGCAAACATGACTGACAGAAGTGTTGTCAGAATGAACAGGAACAGAACACCAAGGTATTCCATTTCCAGCTCACTAAGATGGCACCAAAAATGGACTTTTTCACGGCTAGGAGGACTTGAGAAAGGAGAGCCAGCAATTCAGAGCCAAACTCCTCATTTTAATGGATAAAAATATTGTGGAAGACCAATACTGTATAAGAAGATAATGTTCCAGACATCAGGCGAGAACAATATCCAACTGGAAATAATGACCAGATTTGGAGTAATTGAAAATTGCTGGTCAGAGTCCAATATATTATTCTACTGGATAACAGAAAAAGAGGGAAGGTTAGTTAATATCAGTTTTTGTTCAACGCAGCTTAATTCAGTTCTGACTTTATTGCTCTTGTTGTCTCTTCTTGACTGATCTGAGCACACAAATATATCTGGGACGGAGGAGCAACAGAACATACCTTGAGTAATTATATAAATAAGAAATAGGCTACCATCACTTCCTGCTTTCTTTAGTGCAGTGTTTCTCAACCTCAGCCACTTTAAGATGTGTGGACTTCAACTCCCAGAATTCCCTAGCCAGCCTGGCTGGCTGGGGAATTCTTTCTTTAGTGCAGTGTTTCTCAACCTCAGCCACTTTAAGATGTGTGGACTTCAACTCCCAGAATTCCCTAGCCAGCCTGGCTGGCTGGGGAATTCTTTCTTTAGTGCAGTGTTTCTCAACCTCAGCCACTTTAAGATGTGTGGACTTCAACTCCCAGAATTCCCCAGCCAGCATGCTGGCTGAGGAATTCTGGGAGTTGAAGTCCGCACATCTTAATGTGGACGAGGTTGAGAAACACTGCTTTAGTGAGAAAGCAGCCTGGATCAGCTCTAAGGATTGTGTGATGGAATTGAGCAATGTATTAAGGAGGCAGTTGGATTGCCACTTTGAACCAATAAACATACGCAAGGGTTGTTGAAATGCAATCTGTTGCCTGGAGGTGGGGGGGAGAACAGAGGTCCTAAATTGGCTCAAGGTTAGCCAGGCAAACAGGAGATTGCTCTGGGGCTCCCCCCAAAAAGGGGGAACCAGGACTACATAAGAAGAAATGGTGAAGGAAGTGGATTAGAAAGCAGATGTGCAAAAGGGCTTCACTGAAGCTTGTCTTTTAGCAGAATGAATAGTGCTGTCACCTTCTTCTTCCCAGGGCTGAGAGAGAGGGGCTGGCCCAAAGTCACCCAGATGCCTTTGTGCTTAAGGCAGGATTGGAACTCACCTCTCCTGATTCCTAGCCTGGTGCCTTTAACCACCTAGCTCTCTGCATGCAATTTCTTTTTCTTTCTTTTTTCTTGACTTACCTAATTCTTACTTCAGCGTAACCAAACCGGCTGAAGCACAATCTCAAAAATAGGCATGTTTTGGCTCTTTTGACAAACGTTGCAACAGAGCACAAGCGACCCACAGCATTCGCCTGTCTTAAAACATCTCCATCCGTTTCTCCATCTTCGGATATGTCGGGCTGGGAAGGACTAACTGGCCCCCAGCCTCCTCATGAACTTCCATGGCTGAGGGTGGATGTGGTGGGTCTCCCTGCTCTTAATATTATGTTGTTCTGTCACATTTGGGAATTTATTACCATTTTTGGATGTCATTATAATATGCATATATTGTATAGGCTTTGTTCTTACGCACTGTTATAATTTTTTTCAGGGGTACCCTGGGGGTGCAAAAGAGTCAAGATGGCATCATAGCCATGTGAGGGAAACCTCCCCCCACAGGTGAAAAAAGGGCAGGTCTTTGATCATGTGGTTACAGCCACCATCTTGACTTTTTTAACCCCCCCGATAAGACCTGATCTTTATTTTATATGTTGGTGTTTTTTGTAGTATTTGTCCATATGGTTGTAGGACTGTTTTTGCATCCTACTGGCCTAGTTCTTGGAGGAATGTCCTACATGTTCCCTTTCTTGCCTCACCTCTGAGTTTCTGTTCTTCTGCAGCATGCTGGGCGATCATTGCCACGAAGGACGTAATATTTTCTTGCATGATGTGCTAGTAATGAAAAAAAAAGGTTACCCGACTGCAGTGCTAGAACTTGGGGAGACAAAGGCTTGGGCAAGGCTATGGTTATATAAATCTGATTAACAAATAAATAGATAAATAGATAAATATGTGCTCATTTCATAGCTGGGGAGATAATTGACTGTCTTTTGAGAGGATTGGACTACAAGTCCCAGGAGGCATTGCAACAGACAGGAAGCAGACTGGGGGAGTGCTATGTCCCAAGTGTTATGTAATAAAGAGGATTAAGGTACAATTTATTCTGGAGTCCATATTAAGAGCTTCTAAGAAAGAGCTCAATAACCAAGGAAGAAGGTGGGATTCTGCCAAGGGTGTCAAGGGGAGGGTGGTCAAAAAAGTTAAAATGGCAGCCACAACTGTGCAATGGAAGTTCTGCCCTTTTTCATGTGTGTTGTAGACTAAAAAGGGGTAGGGCACTGACTGCACAGTCTGGGCCACCTTCTTGACATCGTTGACCCTTCCTACAGATATCCCTGAATCCTGAACTACATACAACGCAAATAAGCATGTCACCCTCTGACTTTGCTGTTCCCAGTGACTAAATTTTGCAAAATAGGAACAACTCCTGATGCATATAAGCTGCTGTGGGTGGCTTTTTTGCCCTTTGGGAATGGGGGATACTTGTTAACTTCAGTTTCCATGTATTTTCTGCTTTGTAGATGGCAAGAAACTAGTCATGGATGGGCAAAGAGGGTTTTGGAGGCTGCAGAAAAGAGGCTCTCAGGCTGCATAGAGTCCAGGGCTTCAGAACAGGAAGGCCCAAATCCCTCCATTACTCCCTTTTTCCTAAGGAGGGATCTTCGTGGTGTGGCTCTTGGAAAAGAAGAGCGTTGGAGGTCTGTCCTTCAATGAATAGTGTGGACCTTTTGCAAGATAAACAGGGTGGATCAGTTCTAACAATTTCCAGAATTTACACTATGGGTGGGAAACTTGGTGATCACGGCAACACTTAGCATTTTATGGGAAAGTAACAAGATGCAGTGAAGCAAATTCATGATACAAAGTGAGCAGACTTGGCTCATACACATGGGAACCAGGTAAATATTTTTTCCTATGGGGTAAGGTGATGTTTGGGGAGTAAAAAGGTCTTTTTTGAGAAGAACGTTTTTAGGATTATACTTCAGCTTTCGTGCGCCCCCCAGCCCTGTGGCAAAGCATTCCAACAATACTGTATAACTCTGGTTATTTTACAAGTAATTACACCCAAAGGCACGCCCTTCCACTTTTTATGGAGAGAATTGTGCTCTTAACTCTCCCACTTTGCAACTCACAAGAGGAAGCCTGCATTTACTGAGATTATAAACATCTGCAGGAAAATAGTAGGGCCTTTTCCCCTCCAGGGACAGACGGTAGCAAAGTGGGAAGAGCCGCTTTGCAAGCATGCGCCATGTTTGATCCTCGGCATTTTCAGGCAATGGAGAATGAATGTCTTCTTCAGCTACCGGTTAGGTTACCAGAGCACCAAACAACATTTCCAGCAAGTTTCTTTTTTCCCAACCTTTGATGACTGCCTGGGATTGTAGTCAATGATGCAGCGATGTCACCAGAGATAAGTCAACCTTTTGGGCCCATTTTTTTTGAAATTGCTGGGCGGGGGTTAAAGTGCAAAGCATTTTGCGGTTTGAGGATCCAAAACACCATGCATTGCACTGCCAAAAGTTGGCAGCCCAACCTAGCATATGCTATAGGCTGCAAACAAGGAGCAGGATAGAAACTATGCTTAGAATCCAACAGTACGAAGGCAATTCTGTGTCGCCTTGATGTGACCTTGTCAGACGGTTACTTTTGCTTTATAGACATTCTCTCCGTAGATGTCTGTGGGTGAGTTCCAGACGTTTCAGATTCAAATGGAAGCCACTATCTGAAGAAAGAAAGCAGGATCTAAACCAGCCCGACCCAGATGTTTTGAACTGCTACTTCCATCATCCCCAGCCAAATGGCAAGGGATTAAGGGAATTAGGGTCAAAAACTTCAGAAGGGCCCCAGGTGGAGATAAAATGCATCAAGGGAGATAAATTAAAACTTCCCTGGTTTCTCTGTGGACTTGTATTCATCCACTTTTCTGAGATGCGATGAATGTTGTTCTGAAGGCCTTTTCCCATTTACACCTAACCACAGAACAAATATGCTCCAGCAACCTCTTTTTCTGCCGTTTTCCCATGTTACTGCCTTCATCTTTCCCAGGCCCATGAGTGAAACAGGCTTAAGTTGTCCTTAGCCATACTGGTGTTAAAGCAATGTTTTCTCCCTTATTCTGACACCCTCCAAGGACAGCCTTGAAGTGTGTAAGATCTGTTTGGTTTTGGAGGAAAATCAGAAGATTACAAAGACTGCGAACAGAACAATTGAGACAAGGAGAGGGTTGAGTAACAGGGGCACCAATTTCATGCCGGTAGATTTTTTTTTTTTTGCTCGCTCAAGGATAGGTGGAGAGCAGCAGGCAAAGACCCTAAAACATGTGATGAGAACAGCCATCCCCAATGTCATGCCTTCCTGATAACACTGAGGCTACAGTTCCAGAACTCCCAGGCAGAAGACCACACTGTGGCCTTCCTGGAGGGTAACTGTGGAAGTTGCCATTCCAATGTATCTGGATGGCATCCGAATGAGGAATTATAATTCTTTCAGGAAAACAGTTAAGTTAGTGCCTTGCCTTTATTTACTTATTTACTTACTTACTTAAAAGATTTATACGGCCGCCCATCTTAAGCAACTCTGGGCAGCTCACAACAATATTATATATTATTAACATATTTTTACCAGCTCCGCCTGGCAGGAGTTCCAGTGCCCTTCCATTGTGGTGAGGTTGTGCTCCGCAATTCCCAGTTGCTCCTGTAGCCTGGCCCTTTTCTGTTCCGTCTCTTCTAAAAGCTGTATCTTCTTTCCTAAGGTCTGGTTAGTGATGGCCAGGGTAGACTTGAGGTCTTCATTTTCCTTCCTCTTCATCTCCAGAAGATTTTCTGTTTTGATCAGGGTCTGATTGCTAGACCGCAGTTGTATCCACATGGCATCCCTTTCCCGAGATTTGCTTTCCAAAGTCTGATGGACAATTGCCTTTTCATGGTGCTCCTGCACGAACAAAATTAGGAAGATAACAAAACAAAGCAGGAAAATGAGAGTCGCGAGGCCCAGGCAGAAGGTGCACATCTTCCCTGGCTTTCCTTCTGCAGACAGGAGGAGCGGGATGTCTTTTCCACCCATTGCAGCAGAAGATTTCTTGGAAGCAAGCAAAGCTGTTGCAATTCCAGCGCCCTGGAGATTTGTTCTAACTGTGTGCTTCGAAAGGACCTCCCTTGCAAGCGCTTACCTCATCAGTGCTTCCTTTCCAAGAATTTCAGGATTTTGCAGAAAGGTCAGAAGCGCAAGAGCCGCTGATAGTTTAAGATCGAAACCTCCCTGGTCCTATTTTTGCTGTGTCCACACTTGCCTCTAGCCAACCTCTTTTTCCTGCTCAACCTGGTCTTCAGCTCACCTCCAGCTCATGAGTGGGACAGAGCCAAGTCATCCTTAGCTGCTCCAGTGTCAGAAGAAATGTTCTCCCTATCACCATCCAGGCATCCTCCAGGTTGGGCTTTGCCATGGTGGGGGTGGGGTGGGGTGGGGAGACAAAGTCAGGGACTGCAGTGATTGGGAAGAGGAGGAAGAGAGGTGGGAGAGGATTGGCAGCAGAGGCAGAACTTCATGCCCGTCTTGTTTTCTGATAACTCACGGATGGGTGGACCATCAGCTCGGTTGCAGGGAAAGGCCCATTGACATTGGGGCCACCCACTGGGGGATCAAAAAAATTAAGATGGTGGCTGTGAGCACGCAACTGAGGCCTTCCTGTGTGTTTTTAAGATGTGCTGTAAACGCAACAAATGTGAAAAGAGGGTTTCATTCGTGTGTTCATGGGTTTCATCTTAGCTTTTTTGACCCCCTCGGATGGCCTCTGGCCTGAGCCACACAGCTGCCCAGATACTTCCCAGGTGTTTTTCTTTGTTCTTCCTCCTGTTAGTGAGTGTTACTCACTTGCTTTAAAGAAAATAAGACATAGGCAGTGAATATTCAGTTTGCATTTTTAATTTGAATTTAAATTAAAATGCAAATATGTAGTCCCAAGTTGCCATGGGCTGAACCATATGGGAGTCACAAGGCAAGCCCCATGCCTTACATACTTACATGCAACGTCACAATTGTCAGCCCAATTAGGTAGACCAGGCCAGGAAATCAGCTCCATGGAAGGCTAAAACTACTTTTATTAAGACTGGCTAGAATAATAGAATCCTGCAAATCTGATTGTGTTGTACTTCCTCTTCCTCCTTAAAGTTCAGTGAATTAGGGAAGTGTCTGCCTGAGCCACTTCAGAATGTGATTTTGTTCTGGATTTAAAAAATGCTTCAGCCCCTTTTGCCTAGGTAACAATTCCTGCATACCTCTGTCAAGGTCATCTTCCTTATTGCCTGTGCTGGTGCCACTGATCTCTGCAGGAGACCTTTTTGGTTGATCTGGCCCAGACATCTGATGGATCTCCTAGTTTTCAGAGGGCAGTTAAGGAGTTTGTCAAGTTTCTGGCCAGCAGTTCTGTTGAGGGCCTAGTCAACCTCTAGAATACAGGTAGTCCTTGCTTAACGATGCTAATTGGGACTGGAAAGTTGGTTGTTAAGCGACACAGTCATAAGTCAAAGAACCACATGACTGTGCTGCTTAGTGATGGCAGTTCCGGTTGCCTTCGCTAAGCGAGGACCTCGTGTGACCGCGACTTGTGATTTCCTGCCAGCTTCCCCATTGACTTTGCTTGTCAGAAGCTGACAGGGAAGATTGCAAATCGCAATCATGTGACTGCAGGACATTGTGATGGCCATAAGTACAAGGACCAGTCGTAATTACTACTCATTCAGTGCCGTCGTAAGTTTGAACAGTCACTGAACAAGTGGTTGTTAAACAAGGACCACCTGTACAGAGATGGGTGGCTCGTGACAGGGTTATGCCTGAATGGGCTGTCCCTGCAGACCAGCCTGGAAGTGTTCTTTGGTATAGTGAAGTGTTCTGGGAGATCAGGAAGCCAAAGAAATCCCCAGAGCAGTGCTGATGAACAATAAAAAACAAATATGAATTGAACATGAGGTTCAAGCTGACTCTGTTGGGGGTAAGAGCAGCAAAATATCAATACTTCTCAGTAGCTATCACATCCACTTATTGTTTTCCAGGGGTCATGGTTTAGGTTAATCAGACCTTATAGTATTAGGGAAAGATGGGCCAGAGGAGCTGTTCGTTGGCCATGTGATGAGCTTGCAAGACATCTGGAGGATAAGATCACAGATGTTCACCTGGAGGCTGACTGTGCAAATTCCATTGAGATGACAGAAGTCCCCCCTTGTAGTACTTGAGCCTGTGAATTCTGAGGAACAGGATAGAATCCTCTGTGATGTCAGTTCTGCTACTAGTGAATTAGACCCCTGTCCCATCTGATTGGTGAAAGCTACCAGGGAGATGATATAAGGTTGGGTATGGGCATTAATGCATCTTTGAGAGAGGTGCCTTAAAGGAAGTCATCATCTTCCACTTCTCAATAAGCTATCATTTAATCTGGTGAGTTTGGGCAACTGTTGGCCTGTGTCCAAGTTTTTGAGATGACATGGAACAGCAATTGCAGAGAACTCTGGATTAAAGTTGGTTATCTGGAACCTGTTCAGTTGGGTTTCAGGCCCGGGCATAGGACTAAGATGATACTGATTGCTGTTGTGGATGATCTGGGGATTTGGAAACCAATGGATTCTGGAAATAGTCCATTTATGGTGTTCCCCAGTGTGGGCTGGTCTGCAGTGGGTTCTATTGACTCCCAGCTCTAGCCTGAAGAACAGGTGGAAGCCATGACCAAGATGGTCTTTGTATAACACCATTGTGTGCACTGGTTACAGATGTTTCTGAAAGAGAAGCCTCTTTTGATGGTGCAATTCAAGACGCCAAGCTTTACCTTTAAAGCCAATTATGGCTTAGGATCTGGATAGCTCCAAGACTGTCTGTTCCTTGTGGAATTTGCCCATCCAGTGAGATTTAGGAAGACAGGCTTGCTACAAGTCCTTGCTGCAAGTAAATGTCAATACCAGGGATTCGGAGGTTGAATTTTCTTGGTGGTGGCTTCCTTCCTCTAGAACACCCCACCTCCAGAAAGGATACCTTTGTCCTTGTTAGTATTCTGGGAGGCAGTGAAGACCTGGTGCTTCTGGAAGGCCTACAGAGGGACCCAACAGTTGCTCCTGAGGTAGTTGGTGCCATGTGATGGGATGAGAGGGTCAACGTGGAGTTTTGTTGCATTTTATATGTTTTAACCATAAAACCATATGGAGAAATTGTAAACTGTTAGCTTGACTGGAGTTAGCTTGACTGGAGTTAGTTTGACTGGAGGGGCATAGAAGCCTGAGTATTTAATTAATTAATTAATTAATTAATTAAGCACATAACCGGAGGACTATGTATAAACTGTATTGGATTAAGGAAACTGCTTATCAAAAAAACATGCATGCCATTAATTATAATAATTCTGATTTAGAAATGCAACAGTGAAATTCAAAGAAATAGCTTTCACCAAGCAAAGGCAAGGTTTGCGTAACATCCTTAACCATAAGAGAATACTGTAACTGTGTTTACAGAATATGCTGTGTCCAAGCAAATTAAACCATATTCATGAAGCTTAGCTCATACTAGACAATGACTGGATGCCCAATCCAATTTTAGTCTAGCCTATTTTGTAGTCCAGGGAGGCACAAATGATAGAACTCTAGACTTCAAGGTTGCCAAATCTTTGTGAAAGGTAAAACAGAGATTTATTGTGGATAGTTCCTAGAGGACAAGCATCTGCACTCAAAATATATAGATAACTGTGTCCTGCGATTTTATTTCATGTGTTGTGATTTACTTGAAAGATTAGTACAGCATAGAAAATAATAATAATACATTTAAAGTACTGTATACCCTTAAAATATTTAGAAAATAGTGTTTTTGAATACATAAATACATCTCTGTTGAGAAACAGATCCAGTTCTTGACAAAGACATTTATTTTTCAGGTGGGTAAGGAAGAGTGAGTGGTAAGTGTTCTCTTTCTCCCAAGCATGACTTTGTTCTCAAGCTACAGCAAGGTCCATAATTTATCCCAGGACTTCTTTAATGGCAGTGCTATTTCTCTTGCCGGCAACATGCGACACAGCAGAAGAAAAGGACAAGAATTCCAATCCCCCATCCAACAATGGACCAATCCAAGACATCTTCAATGGAACACTTCTTCTGCTGGTAACTGATTTGGTTCCAGCATCTGTCTCTAGAAGGGAAAGAAAGGCTTCAGAGGCAGGGCACTGATTGTATGGTTGCAATCCCCATCTTGACTTTTTTGATACAAGCCCATAGACATCCCTGAAAGGGTTCATTAGGCCACACGGTTGCCTATGATGAGAGGAACCTGGACAAGATGATTTCTTTCCACACCCATATCACAGATGTTCCTGGACACTCTATCCTGCTTTCCATCTCCTACACCTCTTTGTTTTATTTTAGGTTATTTATTAAGCTTTTGATAATAGCGCAGGAAATAATAGAAGAATGAGAATGAAAACTTCCATGAGATATTAGAGTAAGGTGGCTGCTTAAATTAAAAACCAACTATAAAACTTGCAGAAGAGGAATGTCTTAACCTTGGAGTCTGCAGAAGGATGCCTAGACTAGTCCTGGAGTGCCCTGTGGGCTCCTGTGAAGGTAACTTTGGAGAAACTGGGGGGTAACAGTTAAAGAGACATGTTTTTAAGCCTGGGAGAAGAAGCTCAGACTGTCTCTGTTAACTCCCTGGAAGAGAGGGAGGGAAGGGAAAACATAATATAGTCAGGTTTTCAAGATTCTGTCATTATAGCCTTGATCAATAATCAATAAAAGCAGTGTTCCAGCATTCTTGCAGAATCTGTTTCCTGACTTGGTCTACCTCAAAGGGCTGATAGCTCTTGATTTTGTTTGTTTCTTTTCAGTTTGTCATGATGGCAGCCATGATTTAAATGGGTGAGCCCTTGCCCAGTTCCCAATCAATGGTGTTTGCAGGAGGGGATCAGAAAAGATGAGGCTTCAGTGGTGAGTGTCTGAGTCCCCTGCAGACACCCCTATCTACAGTGGTCTAAACCAGTGTTTTTCAAACATGGCAACTTTAAGATGAGTGGACATCAACTCCCAGAATTCCCTAGGCAGCTGCTCCAAATTAGGGTGCATGGCTGTCTGGGGAATTCTGGGAGTTGAAGTCCACACATCTTAAAGTTGCCATGTTTGAAAAACACTGGTCTAAACTGAGCAGCAGCACCCTAATTTGGAGCAGAAGTTGATCTTGCAAGGGGATGATCAAATTAAGGGCACTTTCCCGCAATCACTATTACCTCCCACCCCCCAAATCTCCCCAAACCCTCAGAGCAGGTCTTCAGTGGCCCTTCTTTGTCCTTGCCACTCTTGTTGCAAGAATGGCTGACTTCTGCTCCTCCGCTTCCCACCAGCCAATTAATAAAGGGGTACAGAAAATGGGCTTTGGCCAAGACTATCCCTCCAACCTACAGTCGCATTGCCATATTAACTTTTTTAGCATGGCAAAGAGCCAGTGCCCCTCTGGCAGTCTGCAAAAAACCTCACCATCTGGTACGAGCATCCAATGGTTCTCTACCCAGGGAGATTTAGAGACGGGCCTTGCAAGAGAACCTCTGCCAGTGGAACGCTGCCCCCCTTTTAAGCCACATGGAAGTTGTGTGAACTGACATTTTGGGCAGCTAAGTCAGACGAGAACGGGCTTGGATGTCCAAGGAGGACAACATCGTATGAATGTACAGTGTTGATGAAGACATGGAGCCCAAGGGCCCTCCATGTGAAAGTGCCCTCCATCCATTAACTCTCTTTCTCATGCAACAAAGGCAGCTGTCTTAGTGGATTATATCCTGATCTCTGAAATTTGCTCCAGCAAGATAGGGTGGCGATCATTTTGTTAGAACTGTTTTCCTCTACTTGGCCCTCCATGTCCCAGAATTGCCCGGATGAGGAATGAGAGTTTATTTTATTTTCTTATTGATTAATTTAAAAGATTTGCATGGCTGCCCATCTTAACCACGACAACAATAAAGCCCATTTCTATAAAATCGTAAACCATAAAAACAAAAACCGGGCGCCTCAGCCACCCCTTTGGGATGCCCCACAACCAGCTCCAGATAGCTTCAATCTATCCCAGTGCCTGGGTAAAAAGCCAGGTCTGGATGGCTGTAAGTTTAGGTTGGGACTTCAGCTTTGTTTCCCAAAAAGTGCTCCCAAGCATGAACAGAGCCCTGGATTGCAGTTTTTTGAAAGAAACAGCAGCTGCTTCTGAGGGTTAGGCGGCCAAGCTGCCTCATAACCTCAAAAAAACAAAAAAAACCTGCTGTAAGGGATTTCAGAGAGGTGCAATGCTCACACCTCCGTGTCCTCCAAAGCACTCTCTGAAATCAGATCTGAAACGCTGCACGGTCCTAAGTGATGCTGCTTTAAGGTTAGGGAAAGTCTGGAAGATCAAAGGAAATATTGGACCCACAAATAGTCGTCGAAGGCTTTCACGGCCGGCATACGATGGTTGGTGTGGGTCTTCCGGGCTGTGTGGCTGTGTTCTGGAAGTTTTGTTTCCTAACGTTTCGCCAGCACCTGTGACCGGCATCTTCAGAGTGCAGGAGCACAGACAGGAGCAGTTCTCTCTGTGCCCAGGGTGATGTGACCCTTTTGTGGGTATTTATAGAGATCTCTCTATAACATGCTCTCAAGCACACTGGACACAAAATCCTATTTGAAGACACAGAGATACTGGAGATTGGTAGCCAGGTTTTGTTGATTTTTAGACTCTCCTCTTTTTTATTGAAACTGTGCTGGTGTTTGTGAATCTCAATGGCTTCCCGGTATAGCCTGGTATAGTGGCTGGTGGTGTTGTCCAGTATCTCTGTGTCTTCAAATAGGATTTTGTGTCCAGTGTGCTTGAGAGCATGTTATAGAGCTACTGCAGATTTTTCTGGTTGCTGTAGTCTGCAGTGTCTTTCATGTTCTTTTATTGAAAACACAGAGATACTGGACAACACCAACAGCCACTATACCAGGCTATACCGGGAAGCCATTGAGATTCACAAACACCA